TCTCTCTCTCTATCTCTCTCTCTTTCTTTCTTTCTTTCTTTCTTTCTCTCTCTCCATACCGGACAAATCCTGGTCAGTCTATTAGTTACGGTATAATTAATGCAAAGTAAACCACCCTCGCACGACATGGCCTTAAACTCGCCCCGATTCAAACATCGGGGTAACATTGCATACTTCTGGCTAACATAACCAAACCCGTAGAGTACGGCCGGACCGACAAATGCGGTGAGCGATTGGTTGCGGTCGGGCAGGCATACAGTGTTGATGAGATACCGGTGCAGGTGATCGACGCGCCGCTCGAACGGGTACCGCAGCTTAACCAGACCCATGTCGTGCCGGCGCATATACATCAGCGAATATGTCCCTGTTGAGTTTTTACGCGCCGCCATATATTCCGGGTGCGGGTATGTCTGGTCCCGCTCGGCGTATACCCGTTTGCCCCGATTGGGCCGGTAGTTACCGGTCTGTACGTAAACTGTATACCTCTGGCTTTGATTAAATAAAATTAGATAAAATAAGATAAAATTAATCATGGTTTTTTGTATAACAAATGGCTAGTTTGTTTTTGCACTTTTCAATACAGTGGGCTGCAGTTAATACCCATTGAAACGTAACTAATACACCGGTGCACGTCGTGATATACTTGCGCTCGACTGCCGTTCTAGGTAGATTTAGTTATTTATTGTAATAAACTTATTAATATGCAAGGTATGTTATATTATATATAAATAAATAATGTACCTAGACAACATCGGGTCCCTGGCGTTAATAAAGCGGACAAAGTTCTCAAAATAGACCTCGATCAACACAGCCCAGGGCGCCTCCAAATACTTGGCCAAATCACCGCCAAACACACGAGTGATGTCCAATGGGTTGGCCGGATGTCCGCACCACTCGGACCCCCGGCGGCCAAGTGTTATACTAAAGTTTGCAGTCGTGTACTTGTTTTTAAAACATTTGCTTGACTTATAGTCTATGTTCACAAACATAGTCCGGGCGAACCGATAGCCGCACTGTTGTTCGTTGAGCTTTAAATGACCAGGATACTGGCCCATTTGCACTTGACCAATGGTTACTTTATTATATATTGATGGATTAATTTAGGTATTTTTTAAATTTAATTATGACTTTTGTTTTATAGTACTGACAATTGGGCGCCGATATGCTGGCGATGATTAACCGAAATATCAGTGTTTTAATAGCGTTTACATTCATTTCGAGATTAATGTGCGGTTTTAATAGCAAACAGATTGTATATCTAGTCATCAAATCTAGAGATTAACTGTTAATGGATTAACGGTTGGATTAATATATGAAATAGTAATTTATAAAGTAATGTAACATTACTAATGTTGCTATTGTTGGCACTGTTTCTCAATAATCATAATCTGTTTTACTTACGATTAACTAATCTAGGTGCAATTCTTGTTGCTAAATAGAGTGTGGGTTATATTGTTTAGTAAATACATTTAATAATTATTAATCAACAGTTTCTATGAAAAAATAATTGATTGTTTTATTATTCGGTATATGTTTTGTTTTAGTATAAAATAAAGTGCTTTTTGAATGATATACTAATTATACAATTTAAATATAAAATGTTTACAATTTAAATAATTAAATATCAATTTAAAAATCATAAAAACACGAATAATATTAAAATATTTAGTTAAAACGAGAGAGAGAGAGAGAGAGAGAGAGAGAGAGAGAGAGAGAGAGAGAGAGAGAGAGAGAGAGAG